TAAAAAGGATAAGTATAAAAAATGGAAAGAAGGACACATAACTAAGGCAGAATACCAGCATATAGCCCAAATCTGCAAATTTGGTCAGGAAGGTAATGCTTAGAATGAAGTAACACTTGCAACAAATTCAAAAATAATAATTAAAAAAGTTTCTTTCAACATATAAAAAAGAAAAAAGTCAAAGAATTGGTCCATGAATGGGAAAAGATGGCAAGGAAGTGATGGTCATCAGGGAAAAAGCAGAGCTTCTAAATTCTTTCTGTGCATCTATCTTCACACAAAAAGAAAAAATAGCCCCAAACTACCAAAGACAGAACAGTAAAAGGTAGACTAGGAATTCCAATTAAAATATGCAAGAAAATGGTAAAACAACATCTGTTTACTCTGGACGAATTCATATCACCAGGACCCAATGGATTACATCCAGAGTTCTGAAGGAGCTGGCAGACGTGATCTTGGAACCATTGAACCATATCTTTCAAAGATCCTGGAGTACTGGGGAACTACCAGAGGATTGGAAAAGAGCTGATGAGGTTCCGATCTTCGGGGGGGGGGGGAATAGATCCAGGAAACTGTAGACCAATCAGCTTGACATCAATACCTGGGACGATCCTGGAAAAGATAATTAAGCAACAGATTTGCAAACACCTAGAAGCAGGCAAAGTTATAACCAGAAGCCAACATGGATTTGTCAAAAACAGATTATGCCAAACAAATTGTTTCATTCTTTGACAAAATTACTAAATTAGTGGACCAGCAAAATGTTGTGGACATAGTATACTTGGATTTCAGTAAAGCATTTGACAAAGTAGACCATAACCTCCTTCTTGGTAAGCTAGAAAAATGTGGGATAGTCAGCATCACCACCAGATGGATTTCTAACTGGCTGACAAACTGCACTCAACATGTAGTCTCTAATGGAACTATGTCTACTTGGAAGCAGTGGGGTACCTCAAGGTTCTGTTTTAGGTCCAGTACTCTTTAATATCTTCGTAAACGATTTAGATGAGGGGATAGAAAAGGAACTCATCAAATTTGCAGAGAACACCAAGCTGGCAGGAATAGCCCAGAAGATCCAGATGGATCTTGACAAAAACACTGGGCCTGATCTAACAAAATGAAGTTCAGTGTAAAGAAGAGTAAGGTTTTATATGTAGGCAAGAAAATACATGGGAAATTGCCAGTGAAAATGAAACTAGGGTTAGGGTTATAAGTAGGTCTCCTTGGAGTCAGGGCTGAGAACTAGTGTTGGGGGTAGGCAAGAAAAACTTGCCTAAAAATCTGTACAGGTACAGATTAGGTGAAACTTGGCCCAATAGCAATAACTGCGAGAGGGATCTTGGAATCCTAATGAACAATCACTTAAATATGAGCCAGCGGTATGCTACAGCCCCCCAAAAAGCCAATGCAATTTACAGAGGAATAGAATTAAGATCACATGAAGTGTTAGTATCATTTTATAAGGCCTTGGTAAGACCACAGTTGGAATATTGCATCCAGATCTGATCACCACAAGATAAAAAATGATATTGAGACTCTGGAAAGAGTGCAGAGAAGAGCAACAAAGATGATTAGGGGTCTGGAGGCTAAAACATATGAAGTAGATTGGGCTGAGAGAAATTGTCACTGGTCCAGAGTTGCCCAATGAGCTTCCATACCTAAGATTGGATTTGAACCAAGGACTTTCTAATATTAATCTAATATAAAACTTTCTCTTTTTGCAAGCCACAAGGTGTACAATTTCCTCTTAACTGACCCCCTTAAAGAAGACCCCATAAAAAAGACAAATTCTTTGACATTTGGTGCTTTAGAGAGCTTTGCAAGAGGAAGAGCATAAAAAACATACTGGATAGTTGCATATATATGTCAGTGATTGCATTACTGTTCCCTCAGTATATGTACATGACACAAGTTTCCAAATGTGTATAACAAATTTTAAGAGGCTGTTATTAATGAGTCATGTGTAATTCAATGTAATCAGAACAGAGATAGTCTTTCATATAATATTTATATTATTATATATTATATTGTATTAAGTTACATTTTATTTTGAGAGAGGGTTTTTAACAAATCATACTCCCTATTAAAATGGTAAATCACAATATAATGCAACTTACTAGACTAATGGCTTCTGGTGTTTCCTCTGGTTCATCTCACTTTTTGGATTTCACCATCACCATCATTTTTTACAAATTACTCTTGTTTATAGTTCTTCTGTAGAAAATATCTCCTCATATTCTCATGACAATAGAGCAGTGTTTCTCAACCTTGACAATTTTAAGGCATGTGGACTTCAACTCCCAGAATTCCACAGCCAGCATTGCTGGCTGTGGAATTCTGGGAGTTGAAGTCCACATGCCTTAAAATTGTCAAGGTTGAGAAACACTGCAATAGAGGCTTTAGATATTCACTATTTTGAAAAATAGTTCAGTTTTCACACAGCCATGAATATACAAAGTGTGTTCATGATAAATTTTGTCTTAGACCAGTGGTTCTCAACCTTCCTAATGCCGCGACCCTTTAATACAGTTCCTCATGTTGTGATGATCCCCAACCATAAAAGTATTTTCGTTGCTACTTCATAACTGTAATTTTGCTACTGTTATGAATCGTAATGTAAATATATGATATGCAGGATCAGACTCTAGACTCCAGAAGATAGAACCATCCAAGAAAAGGAATTCCACAACTACAGGTAGTCCTCAACTTACGACCATGACTGAGCCCAACATTTCTATTTTCTAAGCAAGGCAGTTGTTAAGTGAGTTGCACCCATTTTACGACCTTTCTTGCTGCAGTTGTTAAGTGAATCACTGCAGTTATTAAGTTAGGAACACAGTTGTTAAATGAATCTGGCTTCCCCATTGACTTTGCTTGTCAAAAGATTGCTAAAAATAATCACATGACCCTGGGACACTGCAACCGTCATAAATACAGGCCAGTTGCCAAGCATCCACATTTTGATCACATGACCAATAGAGAATGGAAGAAAGGAAAAGGGTTATAAATAAAAAAATCAGAACCCCTGTAACATTTTGTGGATGAAGCGAGGGGTTATGTGACTACTTTTTCATGGAAGTTTCCCAAAACAGAAGGATACGACTTTACAGCTGTCCCAGATTCCAGCTATTTCATTCCCTCCTTCCAACATTTTCACCTTCCACTGAGCGTACTTGATTCTCATCTAAATGTTTTCTGACAAGTCCCTCTCTCAATGCATTTCCTTTTTCCTAACAATTTCTGGCAGTGAAGTATACACTTCCCCAATCGGAGCCTTTTGATCCCGACCAGGCGGGAGGCAAAATAAAAGGAAGCCGTTTAAAGACGGGAGGAGGGAAAATCCTGATTCATGATGAAAAAGGCAAAGGGAACCTCGCAATTCAGGCAGGCAGGCTTGCTGGCTTTCTCGCCCACGCCAACTCCCTTCTCTTCGCTTGCAGCTGGGCGATTCCAAGTTTAAGCGCAGCTCCTAGCAACCCCGAGGAAAATCCCATGGATGGGGGTGGGAAGACACAATTAAGGTGCTTGCAACCCCCCACACACACACAAGGGCAGAGACCAACCCCAGTTTTTTTTTTAAAAAAGCTAAGATTAAAAAAAAATCCAAAAGCGCTATTTAAAAAAACAATTGCACTGAATGCATCAAGATGAGCTGGCGGAAAGAAAAGATGATCACCGGCGCTTTTATTCACAGACACCAGATTTTTTTCCCCAAATCCTAAAATGTCCATTCCTCCCTCCAAAAGGGAAGGAATCAAAATACAAAAGGAACCCACCCGCGGCAAAGCCCTCTGGCGTGCTGATTCCACAGCTAACAACCCTTCCCTCCTTCCTCCTCTTGCCTCATCCTCCCTCAACTCCCCGCCAGCCCATCTCCCCTCTTCCACAGAGGCGCGAGCGACTGCACGCAAGCGCGATTTGGAGCAGCTCCGCCGGCTTCACAGATTCCCCGGGAAGATACGTCATGGACCCCAATGTCCGGACCTCCGCTTCTGATTGGTGAAAATGCTGGGAGAAGGCGGGCTGAGTCGGCTTTTGCTAGCTCTACCTGAGAGGCGGGGAGTTGCTCCTTTGATGCTTTAAGTCTTACCATTCTCTGTGTTGTTTTTATCCTCCTGGAGACGGATAGAGGAGCGGTATCTCGGTTCCTAAGACCATCAGAAATATGTGTTTTCTGATGGTCTTAGGCGACCCCTGTGAAAGGACCGTTGGACCCCTAAAGGGGTCGCGACCACAGGTTGAGAACCGTTGTCTTAGACCATTTATTGAATCAGTTCAGTTCATCCTGAATTGTTTCATTTTTTTAATAGAAGGTGGTATGAATGGGATCATTTTTCACCTAAATCCCATTCATCTAAAGGTACAAGGTACAGTAGAAAGTATGAACATATTATTTGCAAGTGTTATATTGAGACTAAGTATGTATGTTGAGGGGGGAGGTAGATGTATATCGATGCCTTTAGATCATTGAGTTTTTTCTGAAATCTCTATAAAGGTCATTCTCGACTTACAGTCACTTTAGTGACTGTTCAAAGTCTCAGTGGTACTGAAGAAAGTGACTTATGACCAGTTTTCATACTTAGGATCATAGCTGCATCCCCATAGTCACCTGATCAAAATTCAGATGCTTGACAACTGACACATATATATGATAATTGCAATGCTGCAGGATCATTTGATCATCTTTTGCAACCTTCTGATAAGCAAAATCAATGGGGAAGCCAGATTCACTTAGAAGCCATGTTAGTAATTTAACAACTGCAATGATTCACTTAACAAATATGGCAAAAAAGTCGTAAAATGGGGCAAAACTCACTTAACAAATGTCTCACCTAGCAACAGAAATTGTGATTGTAAACTGAGAACTACCTGTATCCAGAAACATTTCCTTTTCTGTAATAATGTGCTTATGTGCAGTGATTTTACCTTTTCATCTGCTACATTTGTGAAACTATATAATATATTGTACAGTAAAATGTTTAATTTTTGTTTTTTGTTAGGTTTTGAAAGTATTTTAGAAGGGCTTTATGGACCAAGGCTACGAAGAGACCTCAGTTTATTTGAAGGTAAATAATAATTATTAAAAAAGCTAGCATCTTAATTGTATGCTAAATGTTTAAAACTTTTTTAATATTGAGAAATATTGCTGATCATTTTAACCTAAATATTATGATTTAATATTCACCTCTTTTAAAGTTATTACTTAAAATAGCAAACATGCAGTTAGATTTTTAATCTATGAAGTCCTTGAATTAAATAAGCCAATCTAGAGTTTTCTGCATTTGGAATACTAAAACTCTTATTCCTTTCATTAGGAATCTTAGGAAAGGAAATACAGTAATAGCATTGAATTGTGTAAAAACTGATTAAACCTGAAAACTTTAGTGATTTCATATCAACTTGCTCTTTATGTAGTATGCCCTGCAATGTAATTTGTTTCTTTTGTTTTTGTAAAAGAATGCAGTTTCTTTGGAACATAACAGAGCAATTCTTTAATGAGAACTGATTTAACTACCTAGAATCAATAGAATCAGACAATAAATTTTGGGGGTTAGGGGTTGGCTGAAACTTTAGAATTCTTGGTAGATATTTATGTTTAAGTGTTTCCCTGGGGATACAGTTTCCCAGACAGCATCATCTTGATCATTAATGGTGTATAGTAAAGATGATGCTCAGAGGCAGTACAGAGCACACTAGCATAATGAGAGGCACATATTTAGCCTTTCAGATGTCATGGAAAAAGGAGTAAGAAGTGCTTGTTGGGAATATATCTATCCTGTGAGAAGATACTTCAGCTGATATTGGCAGCATCTTACATGGTTTGAAGGCATGCTTTCATGTATGATACAAGACTGAAATATCTCAGAAAATAGGTATATAGGAGGAAAAAAAAGGGTTTCTGGATGAGGGCATTTAGAAATTAGAACACAGCATCAGAACATGGCAGCAGATCGGTAGCCCAGTTTTGGCAAAGAACTGATAACTTTAGAGTGGAGAATTGCTTTCTCACTTTAACCATTTTCCTGTCAGCAGCAACTCTCTGGACACTTAGAATTATGCTAAGAAATGCTACGTTGGTTAATAGTATCCTGGACAAATGTTCAAAATTGCTTTGCATTACAGAAATGTCATTAGATGAGGCTGGGTAAATAAATCCTTGTATATTTTACAGGGATTTCCCCAGCCTATTTGTGGCTAGCTTAAATATTTAACATTTTGAACATGTAATAGGCTTTCAAACAAACAAACCAAAAAATGGCTGTTGCAATGTGTGCATAGCCAATACAGGTAGTCATTGTTTATCAACCACAATTGGGACTGGCAACTCAATCACTAAGTTGTAGTCACTAAGCAAACATCATATGACCATAAAAGACTTATGATCTCACTTCCCTTTTGATGAGAAAGCAAATTGTGGTTGTTAAGCAAAACATCAACTGACTGACTTACAATTTTACTTCCTTCTCTATTAACTCAGCTTGTCACAAGCCAATTTATGAAACACACAAATGGCAGTTATGGGATTGTGGGATTCTACAACGGTCATAAATATGAAGTTTAGTTGCCAAACTCCTTTTTTTAAACACCATCATACTTTTGAAGAGTTGTTATATGAGGCAATGAAGCAAGGACTACCTGTATAAAAGATATTGTTTGATTTCCTGTCTTTCTGTAGTCTGCTAGAATATAATCAGTGGCAAAATATTTTTGACTTCTTGTATAAATAAGCATTTTTACTAAAACCTCAGGATGTAAGTTGCCCATCATTTTTATTTTTTGAAATTATTATTGGGGTTTTTATGCAATCTTTGCTTATTGTTTGAAATAAAGTTGTTGTCAAAGATTGGTTTTAGTTTGCAGTATGACCCCCTTTTTTAAAAAAAATCTTAAAATTTAAAATTCAAGTATTGTATAGCAAATAAAATAAAATTCAAGTATTGTATAGCTATTTGGCTTCAAAGAAGATGTCAGAAACACATTGCTGCTCAAGGTGTGGTGCTGTGTGTGGTGGGACTATAATGCTGTAGTGTGATTTTGTTTTATTTTTGTTTTATGTTGCAGTTAATAAGGAGGATTGTGATTCTTTCCTCTCAAGTGTCCCATCACCAGATTTTGAGTGATAAGTGTCAGGATAGTGGTTCTGGTGATATATGTCTTTTTCCATAGTCCGAGGATCTTCTTGCCAAAATAGATATAGGTGCTTTTGGACTACTGCAGATATGTGATTTTAGAGTATATTAAAAGTCAATTGATAAACATACCTCAGGATTTTATTACTTCCATGATAACTTTATAAGGGATACCTGATCTATAGATGGGTAATTATGACTTTTAACACAGAAAATTATTTCTTAAGTTTTTAGATTTACCAGGATTATTTTCCTCTATGTGAATGTGTAATGTGAATCACATTAGTTGATTCAGGGATAGGGAACTATGGCCCTTTTATGACTTGTAGACACCAACTCTGAAGTTGAAGCTGAAATTTATGTTGGCTCAGGAATTCTGAGAGTTGAAGCCCACAAATCATAAAGAAGCTGTAGTTCCCCACCTCTGAGTTAGCTTAAGACTGATATGAGTGATAAGCAATGTATGTCCTTATGGACATTGTCGGATTGTAAGTCCCATTATCTTTCATAGCTTATCACATTGGCTGGGCCTGATAGGACCTGGAGTTTTAACACCTGAAGGATCAATATTGCTAATTCCTTATTTAGGAAATGCTGATGTTACTAAGTTCTCATTGACCTCTGTAATGAGGAAATGGCTGGGATAGTGACAAGATAATCTCTGAGTCTTATTGGAGCCGGGATTCAGGGGACTTGGATTGTCCTAGAAATAATAATGATTGATTGGAGTAATGCTAGAAGAAAACCAGTGATGATTCCAAATGAAGGAAACTAGGGCATATTTCAGATTTTCTGTGGTTGTGTATGAACACTATTTGCCATGTAGTTTTTCAGCATAGTTGGTATCACAATGGTCTGTTGTATCATGAGCCTCAGGCAGAGATCAAAGATGCTTCCTAGTTTTCTGAGACCAGTTAAGACCAGATACATATATGGTCTTAATTGAAAATGGCACTGATAATAATTTTGGATTATCTGTGAGAAATATATGATAAGCTGAATGTTCCCTGATTTGCACTACCTGAAAATATGGGCAGAATATTTGGAGTTATGAGACTAATCAGTTGTATACTTTAGTTTTGCTTTTCTTTGTTATTTACAGTAGGCAAATAGGAGTGGAAGAGCAGTTCCATTAATGCTTTATAAAAGAATTTCAACCTCCACTACTACAAATCCCAGAATCTAGCTAGATTCCATTCTAACACATGGCAGTCAAACATGTAATGGCATCTTGATTCCAGAGACTGTGTTGAAAGAAATTGTCCAGTTCTATATTACCAATTTTTCTGATGCAGAAAATAAGAACTGGATACCAGTTACTAAAAATTAAGAAATCTTTTTATTTTGAGGGCTCTCTCAGCAGATTTTAATTCTCTGTACATCAGTCCTTAATTAATCAAACAGCATTGGTATTCTGAAAACAGAAATTTTAGCAGACTTGGAGCAATCTCAGGATTTGCAGAAGAAGAATAAATTTTTATATCAGGCAGAAATACTTGTTCTTATTTGTGTTACTGTGCTTTTGTGGTAATAGATTAATGATCTGACTGTGTCTTTCTGGCATGATTTATGCAAGATTTGAAAAAGTTATTTGCCAAGATAATGGCAGTTGCATTTATTGAATATAGCAAGCCCATCAAAACTTTGGAATACAGTCAGACAGGAAAATCTGCCATTTCCTGGCCTTGGAATAGGAACAGTCAAAGAATGTAGGTTCTTGGGGTAGTCTTCAACTGGCCACTGGCTATATTTCCTTTAAATAGGTCCAGTGAGAAAGGGTCTGGTGAGCTTGCTTAAAAGCACTCAGGTACCTATGTAATGAAAACCATCTCCTGAACTTCAATTGGCTAGTCATTTTAGATTTCTATTAGCAAATGTGGTGGATCAGATTATTTCTATGTGGCTTCTTACTGCCTGGTGATCCCAAAAGACTTCTTTTTTGAAGAATTCCTGGAGATAAAACACCTGAAGAGGTGTTTAGAGCTGTTTTGGAGGAAGACAAAGAATGAATCTGACCAAGCATGTGCAAAAGCCTATATGAGAAATTATACCATGAAGATGAGCAGCAAAATTCAGTTAATTCTCTACTCTTATTGCATCTGCTGTTCAACAGCTCTTTTTTGGGTGGCACATTCCTGCATGGGACTATTTGCATGGCACTGAATATAATTTTCTAGGCATCTAAGCAGATAAAATTGCTCAGATTAATTGGTTGGACTCTCACTGAGTTAGAATCCAGTTGAAGTGACAGAGGTGCTGCCTTGTTTGGTTAACAAGGAAGAACTGACATGTGAAGAAATAAACAGGATCCTTGGCTCTAGTCAACCCTTTCAGTTAAATCAGCATCTCTTCCCCCTTTTCCCCCAAGGCCATTTGCACATTCCATTACAGCCCTATTAATTGGCCATCTTTTTATTATATCCTTACTGGTTTATGAGGGTTGTCTGAGAGATAATATGAAATTGGGTCCATGTAATGATGCTACATCCTTAAGAGAGGGTATCTATTGGCCTTGAAAAAGCATTAATGCATCCATTCCTCCAGTGTCCTAGACAATCTTCAGGCATTCTTTAATCTCCCTTTTGGAGAGAAATTTGTTGAGAAGATGGTTGAATTGCAATTACAAAGGGCCAAGGAAGAAACAGATTATCTGGATGTTCTGGACCAACTGCTTCTAAAAATTGTGGTTTTCCGTCTTTTTCTGTAGCCAGTCCCAGTCATTCTATTGTTTAATATCTACAAGTTGCTACTGTTGGTCTGGAGACAAATATCATCAGTATGCAGATGATACTTGGTTGAAATCTCAACTAAATAATCCTGCCTTGTTCCAGTGCTTGGACGCTGTTTAGATTAAGAGAGAAGGATTCAGCTCAATCCTAGCAAAATAAAGTAGGTTCTTCAATCACTTGGTTCGATGAATCTTCTAGTCCTGAATA